GTATTGGTATTGTAGCAGCAGTAGATTCAAGATTGTTTATTTTTGTCTTCATTAGGAGATATTTGGTTTGGACTGATGGGTCTCCTACATTCCAGTACAAAAAATACATATACACAAAGACACCTACATACGTGTTATGCAGTTCCCACACACATCATCTCCTCATGTCCTTATTTAACAGATTCACTGAAACACGTATGAATGAGTTCTAATAGCGATTGAGTCGGCACCGAGGCAGTCGGCACCGAGGCACTCTGTACCTCCTCCCAGAGTTCAAAAGCTCATATTCAGGGAAAAGTACATGTGTAGGATCAGAGATCCTGGTCTGTCTCCTCATGGGCTACTCATAGAGCTCCTGGGGGCCAACAGGGGCAGGCGTGGTTCCAATAGCAGTAGTAGTAGTAGTTGCTGTGGCAGTTGTACTGTAGCAGCAGTAGCAGTAGCAGCGGCAGTAGAAGATGTAGTTCCAATAGTTGTAGTAGTAGTATTAGTAGTTGTAGCAGTATTATTATTGGTTAGCAGCAGTAGCAGTAGCAGTGGCAGTAGAGGTAGTAGTTCCAATAGTAGTAGTAGTAGTAGTAGTAGTATTAATAGTAGTCATATTAGTAGTGTCATAGTAGCTGCAGTAAGGCAAGGCAAGTTTATTTGTAAAGCACAATTTATACACAAGGCAACTCAAAGTCATAAATAATCACAGAACATTAAAAAGAAAGATAAAAATATAAAATCCATCAGTTGTATGCACAGCTAAACAGAACTGTTTTTAACCTGGTTTTAAACATTGTCAGAGAAGAGGCCTGTCTCATACTTTCAGGAAGATTGTTCCAGATTATAGCAGCATGAATCTGTATTAAGTCTATCTTTATCTTTTCAATCCAAATGTAACTTTGTTGTTCCAAATTTTAGCAGCATGAGCCTGAAATGCTGCCTCCCATGTTTAATTCTGACTCTGGTAGTAGTAGCAGCAGCAGCAGTAGGAGTATTAACAGCAGTAGCAGTAGCAGCAGCAGTAGCAGTTGCAGTAGTTGCAGTATCAGTAGTAGGAGCCTCGTGAGTCTCTGTTTGACCCTACAGTGATAGAAGAAAAGAGTTTTGGAACCAGGAACTAGTTAGATGAATATTATTACCTCTTACTTTTTTATGTGATTTAGAAATTAGATACCCCTCGAAAACCCTCAATGTTAATCTCAGCCAGAAGGTCCTGGGATTGAAATTCCAGTAAGAACGGGGACTTTCTGGTGGAAGTTTGCATGTTCTCCCCGTGTCTGCGTTGGTTTCCTCCGGGTGCTCCGGTTTCCCCTACCTCTAAAAACATGCTCAATAGATATGAATGTAACGAGTGAGGGAATGGATGGTGTTGGTGGGGGCTTTAAAGGTCCATGTGTATGGAGAGAATGGGAAAATATCTGAACTCTGAAGACTGAAAAGCACTTTGGGTGATCATGGTCTGTAAAAATGCGCTATATAAATAAACATCACGTTACAATGTTGAGAACTCTCTGGAGACAAAACCACTTTTCTTCCAAATATTCAAGATAATGTCAAACACACGGGAAATAGCAGATTATTAAATATACTGAATTCGTACATATTTGCACGAGCACTTCACATATCTACATTCTTAATCAGTTTTTCTTTATTTTCTTTTTATTTGTATAGCACAATTCATACACAAGGCAACTCAAAGTGCTG